TAGGTCTTCTCCCTTGCCTACTTCTAACATGCCTCCTATGTAATGGTTGTCACATGTTAGAACTTTTCTAAACCAAAGGACTATGAAATTAGTGTTTTTGTGAAGTGTGGTAGTCAGTTTTACAACAGCAGGATATTTGCTTTTGTTCTCTGATACATACCTAGCCTGGCACATAGTAGACACTCAAGAATAAAATTCCTTCAAAAACAGAATATGGGGCTATTGCCAGTGATATTTTAAATTTTATAATAACACAGAACCCATAGGTGAAAAGTAAGTTGAAGGAATAGTTATATTAACAATGTTTAGTACCAGTGTAAAATGCTTACATGGTTACTCTTCTTCAATCACAACAGCAAAAACAAACAAACAAATAAATAAATAAAATTTAAAAAGCCCCATTAGGCTGAGTGAGCTAGCATTTCCCACCTGGGATTAGAGTTAATTATCTTCATTTATTCCGTACTTTGTGGATTCTAGAGAAACCTCTTTTTTTCTCTCTCTCCTTCCTCCCTCCCCTACCTCCCTCCTTCCCTCCCTCCCTTCCTTCCTTCCTTCCTTCCTTCCTTCCTTCCCACATGTTAAACAAGCACTTCACCATTGAGCTACATCCCTAGGCTTTTAAATTTTATTTTGAGACAGGGTCTTGCTAAATTGCCCAGGCTAGCCTTGAACTTGGAATCTTCCTGCCTCAGTTTCCCAAGTAGCTGGGATTACAGGCATGTACCACACCATGCCTGGATTAAACTTTTCCTTTTGAAAATAAAATTGTTAAACACTCTCTTACAGTGTTGATTAAACAAAGACAAAACGAAACAATTTGCATTATTTCTTAAAAGATTATGTGCTTGTGTTTTTAAAGCTACTTTTCCAAACAGGAAAGGACAGTCTTTCTTTTCTCTTTCTTATTGCCTGGAAGTTCAGCTGTACTTTCATAGTAAGGAGTGGAGAGTATTTCTGCAAGGCAGTAATGTTAAAAATCCTCTGTGGCGGTGGGGTGGTGGGGGGTGGTGGGGTGTGTGTGTGCTGGGGTTGTGGCTCAGCAGTAGAGTGCTCGCCTAACCCTGGGTTTGATCCTCAGCACCACATATAAATAAGTAAATAAAAATAAAGTTATTGTATCCAACTACAACTTAAAAAAAAATCCTCAGTGGGAGAATGGCACTATCTTTGCGATAAGTAGATTAACAAAGAAGAACTAGAGATCTGTCATTTTGATATCTGGGTCTGTAATAAAATTTCTAGAATCTCTGACAGTAAAATTGCCATAATTCCAATGAATTTGGGAAGAAGCAACAAGGAGGGGCTAGGGCTTTTTAAGGAAAGCCTTATAGTAACAACATATTATTATATTTAAGAATAGTACAAAAACTTAATCTAACATTCAAAAAAAAAAGCACCTTCCACTAAACAGAACTCTTATTGAGCAGATACTGGAAACTAGAACCATATGAAACAAACCCAGACTTCAGTCTCATTTTATGCAGATTGCTGTGTGTTTTAGTTTGGTTTGAGTGGTGTGTGTATGTGTGTGTGTGTGTGTGTGTGTGTGTGTATGTGTCTAGGTTGGTTGGTTGGTTTAGTTTTAGTTAGGCTATTTAAAATTGGGAAATTTTCACACAAAATCTTAAATTACTGTTTCTCTTGACAAAGGGATGCCCTGGCAACAAGAGAGCTGAACAGTACTGATCCAAGGTAGATAGGTCCCGTACTTGGGGACACAGTCCTACTCCTTCCACCCTCTTGCTCTCCCACACAACCATCTTTTCTCATTTCCGCCACCTACTGGTTTTTCTTGGAATTGAGGAAATTCATATGAAATAATAGAAAATGAAATACAATTGAAAATCAATTTGTATTTGAAAATCAATATTAAATAAACCCAGAAGAGTTTGTTTTTTAAAAAAAAGGTTTAAAATTTCTCTTATAACCATTTTTTAAAAAATATATTGCTTTGTTCAGCACACTGTTTCAATAAACTCACCATAAACTTTAATTTTGCTCAAGTTGGATGACATGCTAGGCATTAAAGAAATCCCAATTTCATAAGGCTTTACAACATTAATTAAGTGGTAAGAAAATACTTTGCACTTAGAAAAACTGCTAAAGATATATGACAAATTAGTACCTGAAATTTCCCGGTTATGTGGGTAACTTGTAAATTACCTGAGGATGTATGGGATCAGAGAAACTCCAGAATAAAATCAAGGATGGTTGCAGCAATAATTTACCAGAAAGCTGGACTCTCTCTTCAAAGGAGAGACGCTCGGTCATTGACACAGCGATTAGCCCTGAGTGAAATGTAAGGAGACATTAGCATTGGCAGCAATAGTAGGTGGAGAAGAGCTTCCAGCTTGTGCTCTTCTGTGTAGCAACTATTAAAAGATTTGGTAATTAAAGAAAATGTTGCCAGGCATGATGTTGCACACCTGTAATCTCACTGACTCAGGAGGCTGAGACAGGAGGATTGCAATTTCAAAGCCAGTCTCAGCAACTTACTGAGGCCCTAAGTAACTTAGTGAGACCCTGTCTTAGTAAATGAATGAATAAATGAATGAATGAATGAATGAATGAATGAATGAGTGAGTGAGTAAACAAATAAATAAATAAAGGGCTGGGAGTATGGCTCATTGGTTAAGCAACCCTGGGTTCAATCCCTGAAAAAAAGAAAATGTTTCCTTTTGTATGTGTGTGAAAAAGGGCTGGTGGGGAGTTTGAGGAGAGAGTGAGCAGGGACTTCGTGGTTCTGCCTTCACATGTTCCTCTGCTTCTCAGCTGCCAAGCTCCTTAAGGAAGGTAAGTGTTCTGTCTTGCCCAGCAATCCTGGAGGCAGAGTGTCAGGAGGAATGAATCCAGTTGGGGAGTCCCCTTGCACTGCACAATTGAGTGACCTGAACAAGTCACTTCCCAGAGTTGAGATTTGGTCCTCTTGTTGTAAAATAGAGGCAGTAATATGTGCATGTCCCATGGGATTGCTGGGAGGACCTGTGGAAGCAAAGGTGTTTGGCAGGTACCTGGCACTCAGCAAATGGAATTGGTTTTGAAATTGATCTAGTTTGATCTAATTTTACATAAAGTTAAAATTGATCTAATTTTACATTAAAAAAGCAAGGCTATTTGATATCAGCACAAAAGGGAATCCATCATTTCCCTCTCACCATAGATAGTTGGGTGCCATGAGATGTAGCTAATCATTTTATCCGTGCCACTATGAAGGTCAGTAAAGGACTGGTACTCTTTCAGGTGGGTGTCAGTTTTATCTCCAAAGGCACCTTCTTCTTCTGCCAGGCGCTTCCAGTCTTCAATGAATGTGTTCATGATTTCATTTTGCTGCAGGGCTATTTCAACACTATTTTATTCAAGAAAGCAATGAAGATGTTTGATTTTAGTGTTCAAAGATAAGGCTATTTTAACAGGTTTTTCTTCATTCATATTGAACAAAACTAATAATTCCCAATTATACTTGGTCATAAGGATTAATCCCACATGAAATAAATAAATTAAGAAAAAAAAAACTTCATTGGAATTTGTTACTTAGAACTTCTTTCATGAACTTGCTATTCAGCAGCCGGAAGGAAGGGCCATTACCTGACAGCCTCTGTGGGTTCCGAGGCAAGTCTGCACTCTGTGCAGGTCAGTGACCGAGCAAGATGCCAGGGCCTGACCAGTTCTGCTCTGAAGGCTGTGCTGCATTGGCTAAGAGTTTGTCTGAAGCTCTACCTGAACACTTCTTCCTTTATATTTCACAGTGTATACTCAGGAAACCTCTACTGCTAATTTGGCCTCAGTTGCTTCCTGGAAAGCCCAAAGTGACACAAAAGGAAATTTCTAAGGCATTTTCAGTATTAAATGATCACTTATACTAAATGAGGACAGCTCAAATATATGTGTGGACATGCATGTAATGTATATGTGTGTATTACATAGATACAAATACATGTATGTGTATAAATTCAAAACAACAAATAACTGATTCTCAACAGGGGGAGATTTGGAGTTTAGTAGTGCATGTGTGTATGTGGAGTTTAGAAGTTTGTGTGTATGACAACTAAAACTGGTGGTTTTAGTTGTCACAATGCCACAATGCCTGGGAGGTGTTACTATATTCAATTCTATTACCCACCCCCTTACAATATATAAGATAGTTCCTAAAATGAAGAATTGTGCTACTGAAAATGATAATATTGCTCCTTTAAGGAATAATCCGAGTGCCTGTAAAATCTCTTAGCAGGCTAGGGATTCTGGTTTCACAGGCTCCTGTCTTTAAATAGTTACTATGTTTATTATTCCTTTATATAATTAAGTTTGAAAATAGCTCACTAGGCTTCTTGGAGCTTTCTTACAATTAGAATGCTGCTTCAATGATTGAAGTCCAAATATCTTGTGTATGTTTACATAGGTGTGGTAAGCTGAATCATTTCCAATGATGAATTTCTTAAAATAAGAAGAAACCCTGCATTTAGACAATTAAATGTAAACACTAAATTTCCTAATGGACATTCCTAAAATGTAAATAAGGGTCCCATTTGATATCTCTGTCACTGATCCTTAACACTACTGGTCACTGCTAAATTGAATTCTCTCTTGGTTAAATTCCTTGTAGTTCATCTTTTCGAACAGAAGCATTTTTAAGTCCCTGTGTTTCAAGTGTGGACCATGGGCCAGCAGCAGCGGAGGGCCGGCAGCTTGCTAGCAGCACAGTCACAGGCCTCTGTCGCCATCTACCACACTTGATTAAGGATTGATGAGAGGCCCTTTATTTTGAACATTTTTACTTCCCCAAGGCCGAGCTCTCCCTTGAAATGATCATTTGCAAGTAGACCTTTCATTTTTAATCTTCTTATCAAGAAAAACGTTAATGGCTACTTAGTGTTACAATGAGGTGCTATGTGTTTTGCTATGTTTTGATTCTTGTAATCTAAGTAAATCCATATTTTAGTTATGACCAGTGTGACTATGCTCTGGCAGCATTCAGTTTATTCTGAGCCTTTTCTTGTAACACAAACTTCAACTGAGCTGAGTTGCTGGCTGACGACACATTGACAACTCTGTATTGATATACAAACGTGATAGTTGGTAGCTCAAGACTTTTCCCTCCAAAGTTACCAGCTGGAAGCTTTACATGTCTTCAGAGTCCATAATTAACAGTGCCTTAAGACTGCCATTTGAGACTCATCTCGATGTGACTATGCTCTGAACATTCACTCTGAACATTCACTGGATGACAGAGGTGAGCAGTCCTTTGTTTCATTGTTGGATAAGTTGGCTTTTCACACCTGTTCAAAGTATCATCTTGAGGGACTGGTCTCCCAGTTCATTAGGACATTTTTCTCCATGGATGCACAGTGTTTAGTTTGTAACTAACATTTTGTGTCAGAGTAAAAATTTTTTTTTTACCCATTTTTGCCTAAATGTTCACATATTCCTTTTGTTTATTTTGCTCTTGTGTGCATTACAATGGACTGATTAATTTGGGAGCTATCTTGACTTGTTATTTGATTAGGAGGATTAAAAAAAAAGGAACCTGTTTTATTGCATGAATTACAATGCTTGAGGTTAAAATTGTCATCAGGTATTGGAAAACCTGACCATGGTCCAGTACAACAAGTGACAAGAAACCTTAAATTTTCTTCTTTCTTTCTCATTGTAGCATGCTTGCTGCGAGTGAGTGGCAAAGAGTGAATGTACTCTGAATCATTAAATGAATTTTTGCATCAGATTCTTTCTAGACATCGGTAACAACTTTTGAGAGTTGCTGGAATTTTCAGACATTTAGTTCAGACTGAAAAAATTAATGAATGTTTTCTTAAAAATAAAAAGCTTAACTTGGGCTATGTATAAATTTGCCTATCACATTTTTTAATTTTGGAAAGAAATAGAAACCAACCCATTCCGTACAACTGCTAGACTGGTCCACTATTGATCACTTCAAACTCTGATGATAGTTCCATGAGATTTAGTGAAGCTCATTCTCTAGTTTAGAAGCCCCAGAGCTCTGCTCTGACTCCTAGCACCAACATAGGGGTTGTTTTGAAGACATCTCTCTTTCAGAACCTGGGTGGCAGCAACACAGAAATTTGTGATAACAGTGACATGTCCAAAAAGCATATCTGAATTGAATTTGGTTTCTCATTAACAAAGATAGTTTTTGCAAATTCTTTCATCATAATAATGATCATCCCTAATACCCACAGCATCTTCAACCTAATTGTCCTATAAAAGGCAATGAAGCTGAGAAGGGGATTGTGGGGTGGAGAAAAGAAACCGTAGTATATACAAATATACTTTGACTAAGGTTGAGCATCCTTAGTCCAAAAATTTGAAACTTGAAATTGTTGAAAATCTGAAACAGTTTGAACAAGGACATGACACCACTAGTAGAAAATTCCATACCATGAAACTTTGTGTAAAATTACCTTCAGACTATGTGTGTAAGGTATATGTGAAACAAATTAATTTAATGTTTAAGTGTGGGTCCCTCCCAAGCTATCTCATTACTATTATTATTCTCAAATCCAGAAAAACCTGAAATTGGAAACACTTCTGGTCTCAAGTATTTTGGATGTGGGATACTCAGCCTGCAGTTGTTAATTTGCAATTAGGAAAACATCCTCACACATTCAGTTGCTCAGTGTGTTTGGTGTGGTCCCAGCATAGGATATTGCTTAGCAATAGAAGGGCAAGAAATACTGAGAATCTATAGAATGTGTCATGATCTCATGTTTTTGTACTTTCTATCTAGATACCTTATAGAATTATTTATTAGAACCATTATAAATAAACTTGCACATTTTATGTTTTATTTCAAAATTTTAATATAAAAGTTTTTTACCTTGTGGATACCTTCTTAAGAAAATCAATCAAAGTCTTTGATTGTCCAAGTTTCTCTCTTTCCTCTTCTGAGAATTCTCTAGCATAATATTGTGTAGTAGCATTTTTGGGGTATGTCCTAATATATTCAAAGAAAGTAGAATACAAAAAATTATATAAAAGAAAAGCACATATATACGTCATGATAGGTCAAAAGTTCATCTCTGTAGCTGGGTGCAGAGGTGCACATCGGCAACTCCAGTGACTTAGGAGGCTGAGACAGGAAGATCAAAAATTCAAGGCCAACCTCAGCATTCAGTGAGATCCTGTCTCAAAATGAAAACTAAAAAGAACTGGGGATGTAGCTCAGTGGTCAAGTGCTCTGGGTTAAATTCCCAGTATAAAAGAAAGTTTGTCTTTGTGACAGTGATATTAGCTATTAATTTATACTAAATTCTAAAGTTCAAATTTTCTTTTGTCTTAGCAATTGATATTGACTACCATTCAAAGTCTAAATGTATTTCTCTCTGACATAATTAAAAGGCTTATTTTGTAAAATTTTAACTTAGAAATCATTTTTAATTTATAGAAAAGTTATAAGAAGGATATAAAGAATTCTCATACACCTTTTGCCCAGATTCATCGATTATTAACATTTTCCAGATTTACATTATCAACAACTTAGAGAGATCCTGTCTCAAAATGAAAACTAAAAAGAACTGAGGGGGCTGGGGATGTGGCTCAAGCGGTAGCGCGCTCGCCTGGCATGTGTGCGGCCCGGGTTCGATCCTCAGCACCACATACCAACAAAGATGTTGTGTCCGCCGAGAACTAAAAAATAAATATTAAAAAATTCAAAAAAAAAAAAAATAAAAAAAATAAAAAGAACTGAGGATGTAGCTCAGTGGTAAAGTGCTCTGGGTTAAATTCTCAGTATCGTTGGCTCTCTCTCTTCATGTCATTAGTGTTTCTTGACTACTGCAATACACCCCCATGCTCAGGGAATATTTGGCAATGTCTGGAAACAGTTTTGGTTGTCAATGCTGGGAAGTGTTGCTGGCGTCTAGTGGATAGACCCCAGCGATGCTGTTATACAGCCTATAAAACACAGGGAAGTTCCCCCACAACTGAGGATCATTAAGCCCAACATGTCAGTTGTGCTAAGGTGAGAAACTCTGCTCTAAATATGCAACTAGGAAGAAGTTATAGTTAGGCAGTGATGGCAGCATGATCTCTGAAAGAAATCTGCTTCCTCCAGTCTGCTCTCCAGGTCACCTCCTCGTGAAAATGTCACATGGCCTTTTACTTCTGGGCTTCATTGATAGCCCCACTCACTAGACTGGGTGATGTTGGTCCTTGCATGTGGTGCTGAGAAACAGACGGAGCACAATAATCAGGAGTGTGGGTACTGAGGACAGGCGGCCTGACCTTGAAGCCTCATTCTATCACTCACTCTTAAATTTAGATCTCCTGCCCCTCTCATCTATTTACACCCTCTATAGCCATCACTATTACTCACAGCCAACATTCCTTGAAAGCATACCACATCCAAAGTCTTGTGGTTGGGGTCCCTGTTGTTAGAGGTTTACTGTCCCTTCTGAGTCCACCTACTGAGTCTACCCTGGCTGGCTCTGACTTGGGACTTGTCTGCACCAGGATAGGGACCCAGAGGAAAGCTGGCTGGCCTGGCTGGACATTTGTCTCAAAATCCAAGGTCCTTTGGTACCTACGTATCACCTCTCTCCTTTGTGTCTCGCTCTCACTTCTTGGGAGTTTATGGATCTCTACTGTCATCATTCCTTGCAGGGACTTTATTACTAATCCTTGTCTTTCTGCTTGCTTTCTCTGGTTCAAACCTGTCAATTCATCTGCCACCCTGGTTTCTGATTCATTTCTTGGCCCAGCATTTGGTGTTTATGTTTCTGTGCCCTGACTTTAACATTGTACTCTCAAGGTTTCTGATTTTTGGCTTAAATAAATCTGAAAAGCATTTGTGTGTTGCATTCCATGTTTTGGACCCCTGATTCTTCTGGTCTTGAACTCCCTTACTGTATTCTCATGGCTTTTCCCTTAACACTGAATATAAGTGAGTGATCAAGCTGAAAACTTTCTCTAACTCCATCCCATCCTTCCTCTTTCCTTGTTCTATTCCTTTTTTTCCTCCCCATTTAGTAAGTGCATGTCAGGAACTATTGTAGGAGTTAGAGACATGGGGGAGGGGAGAGAGAGAGAGAGAGACAAAGTTTTTGTCTTGTGGAGCTTAAATTCTAAATGGGAAGGGGAAAAGAGTCAATTAAAAATATAAATTAAGCAATCCGGCACCATGAAGAAAAATAGAGTAAGGGATTAGATAGTAATGGAGGTGGTGGCCTTTATGTAGGAGTGTCAGGGAATGCCTCATTTGAGCAGAGGAGGAGGGAAGGAGACATAAAAGATACCTGGTAGGGAAGGGCATTCTAGGTAAAGGAACTGCATACTTATACCAAGCCTGAGGGTGTTTGGAGAATTCAAGAAACAAGAAAGACAGTGTGGCTGCAATGGATGAGAAAGGGAAATTATGAGAAAGGAGGGGAGAAGGGAAAAGGGAATCCCGATCATATGATGCCCTATAGGTTCCTTTAGGATGGAGACCATTGGAGGGCTTTAATCAGTGACATAATCTAACCTACTTTTTTGTGTGTGTGTGTGATGGTGCTGAGGATTGAACCCAGTGCCTCACCCATGCTAGGCAAGCACTCTAGCACTGAGCTACAACCCCAGTCCCCCATACATTTTGACAGGATTTATCTGGCTTTTCTATGGAGAACAGAATGTAGGAGGAACAGGATAGATAGCAGAAGCCCAGACAGGAGGAGTTACAATAATCCAAGCAAGAAGTGGTGATGGCTTTGTCCAAATTGATAGCAGTGGATACATTTAGAAAATAGATCCAAAAAAATCTGAGGCTTTTGGTCTGAGTAATTAGGAGTATATTATTGTCATTTATTGAGAGGAGAAGGATTCAGGATGTTTTAGGTTTGGGGATATAAAATCAAAATTTTGTTTTGGGGCATTTAAATTTGAGATACCATTAGATAATTCAATTAGGCAGATGAGTAAATGAGTGTAGGATTTGGGGGAGAGATGGAGGTTGCATGTATAGATTTGGGAGTCATCAGCAAAGAGATGGTAGGAAACACCACAGCACAGAAGGAAGTCATCCCAGGATTAAGTCTAATTAGAAAGGAGATCAAAAGGAGATAGCCTCGGTGCCCTGAAATGTTTAGACAGTTTCTAAAGGAAGAGGAAGATCCAATAAAAGAGACTTATGAGCTGCCAGTGAGTTAGGAGGGGATAATAAGAGTTTTCAATAAATCCAACAGAAAATGTGTTTCAAGAGGGATCAACAGTCAATCCTGTTAAATACTGCTGAGTGGACTAAGGTCTGAAAATGGATCACTGGATCAAACTGGCAGAAATCTTGTTAAAGACTGCTTAGAGTGGGCTTTAGACAGAAAGCCAGAGAGAAAGTGGAACTACGAAATATGGACAACTGCCATGAAGAGTTTTATTTGCAAAGAAAAGCAGAGGCATTAGGTAATAGCTGCAGGGGGCAAGCTATTTGTTTGTTTTAATGATGAATTCGTAGTATTTTGTATGTACACATGTCTCCTTTCCACCTCTTCCACTCTGTTGACAGCCACCATGTAAATTTAAACATGGTCACATTTTTTCCTGGTTTAATTACAACAGGCTCCTAGTTGGTCAGTCTCCTCACTTCCAGCCTTTCTCTTCTCTGCCCTCCAATCCACAGTACCTGGATATCTATAGCCTTACCATCCTGTCTCTGCTTCAGAACTTGCCAAACTTTCCTACTGTCTGTCATTCTTTGTCTGCCTCATCATGGAGGAAAACAGAACCTTTGATGCCATCCCAAGAACTCTGAATTAATGTATTTTTGTAAGTAATAATGAACCAAATAAGAAATCTAGCCAATGAAGGAAGACTTGAGGTGTAAAATGATCACTTAGGTGGTATAATGGAGCAGATAGGAAGAAACAGTAATATTCCAGGTGAGTAATGACCAGCATTGCAATTATTAACATCACTCATTTTCCCATCTCATATTCTTTATATTCTTCCACAGTTGTATCTCACTTTCTTAAGATTTTTAACGGCATTATTGAGCATAATTACATCTTGAATTGAATGACTCTATGTGATCTATAGGATCATTGTCAATCCATTTCTATTAATTATAAAGAGCTCTCAAACTATCATGGAAGTTGCTAAATTTTATGGCAACTGTCTATAAAAATACATAAGCCTATTCTATACCTACCATTTTGTCTGAGTGCTTATGTCCTTGACAAAGGGGATTACTTGCATGCCAATATCTTTCTCGAGTTTTTTAAGGGTGAAGTTTTTATCTGGGTAGGCTGTACAGTCAATGTAGGCATCTTTTGTACTGGAAGCATTCTGGTCACTGAATGTAACTGGTGCACCAAATTGATTTCGTTTTCGAGAAATCATATATATAATCTGCAACACATGTAAGCAACAAAGGTAATATAATGAAGTCCTAGGAGAATAAAATGGATGTATAGTAGACAGTGTTGGCATTCTTCTCAGTTCCTCTCAGCTCTCTTTGTACAATTTCCATGTGCCCATTCAGTTTTCCATTCCCACTGGCTATACCCACTTTGGAGGACGCTCTAGCACCACTGAGAACACAAGAATAGAAAGTGACTGGCTGATTGCGTCTTGACCAATAAGGGACTGGTAGGAGGTATATGGAAGCCCACTTTCTCGGCTTCTGTTTGGGACAAAGCTCTGAGTTTAGATTGCATGGCCCCTCTACAGGTTCAGGATGAGGCTTGGGGGACTTTTGCCTGAGACTGCTCCCTTACAGGACTTCCTCCATGTCTCTGTCCTGCTGCTTTTCATCTTATCTTATGGGGCACATTCATAATAGTCACTCACACACAAATCCTCCTCTCAGGAGATGCTCTGGGAAAGAATGCCATCATATTCATTCCCCAAGGGCTTTGATAAGGAAGTATCACAAACAAGGTGGCTGAAAACACAGGTTTTGTTTTCTCAAATTGTGGAAGCTGGAGGTCGCAAATCAGGGTATTGGGAGGGTTGGTTCTTTCTGAGGGTTGATGGGAGAATCTGGTGTTGGCCAGCAATCCTTGGTGTTCCTCAGATAGTAGTTAAGATGGTTCTACTCTCTACCACCTTTTCCACAGGGTGTTCTTCTACATGTTCTACATGTAGCCATCTTTTTATAAGGATACCAATCAATTTGGATTAGGGGTTATCCTACTCCAACGTGACTTCAACTAATTATATCTGCAATGACCCTTTTTCAAAATAGGGTCAAATTCTGAGATAACTGGGATTACAATTCCAAAGTATCTCTTTTTGGGGGGTGGGGTAGATTCAACCCATAACATACACCTAAGAAAATGGCCATTCGTCTATAAGATATTAAAAAAAAGACATATCCCCATAGTACACGTAACAGATTTTTTAGATCCCTCAGGAATAAATGTTGTTCAGCTATAGGGAGGTAAGGACTGGAAGTCATATTTAAGCCCCTGACCTGCTTTGTAGATTCCTTCACTGATTCTTCCTCAATTTCTTTTTCACTGCCCAAAGAAACCCATGGTTTAGAGACAGGTGGTTGGTAAACATATATGTCTTCAGGAATAAGTTCTTTAGTTTCTTCCTGTTCTTCTGGTAGTACTTCTGGGGGCTGGAGTAAAAGAAATAGCATTTTAAAATAGATGACCAAATTTAGGTTTGCAATCACATGTTTGTATTTTGCAATAAATGTTGCTTTTATGTAAGTTCATTAAGCACTTTCTGTTTGTTTTCTTTGTAGGCTCATGCTTTTGAATGATGAGAAGTAAATTAAGTCCAAAAAGGGAAGAATAAAGAATGAAAAAGAGACATTAAGAAAGTAAGAAGAAGAAGGGGAAGATAAAGGAAAAGAAAAGAAGGAAGCATGACTAGAAAAAGTCATTTATTGCCCATCTTTATGATCACAGAATGCTAAATTTGATGATAAAATGTAAAACTAATTTTATCTGATTTAATGAAAGGTTCTTTGATAAGAGGAATGTAAGTATGAATAAAGATGATATCCCTTAAATTAAATATTAGCAATGAATTTTTTTTAAAAAACCAAGATGTTCACTGCTGTTTTATTTGTAATACTGGAGGAACTAGCAACCAAATGAATATCACTAGGGAAATGGATCAATGACAGCGTGGTATCATTGTAAAGTAAAACCCCAAAAAGCAATTAAAATGAACAAACACAATCAACATATATATGATATCCAAATGTATCAATATTTATAGATTCTAGAATTTTACTATTCTGAAAAAAACTGCAGAATGTTTTATATAAAATGACATAATCTCCATGATAAATTTTAAATTAATTAAACAACAAAACGCATTATTTGCAGAGGATACATATATGATAAAGGCATAAAATCATGGGTACAAAGATTATAAAACAACCTTAGAATAATGGTTCCTTATAGAGAGGAGTGAAGAAAATGAAATTAGGGATGATATCAAAAGGAGTAACATTATTTTTATTTTATTTTATTAAATTTTTTTGAAGTAAATATGATAAAATATTCATTTTGTGTGGTGATTTTATAGATATTTGTTATACCACTCTTTTCTATACATTTAAACTATTTCACAGTAATAACATGAAAGCAGAGAAAACAATGATAAAAATAAAATTTAAAGTATTAAGGCAAAATGAAAGATTAGTTTTAAATTAGAAACTATCAGGTATTTAAAATTCTGAGCCCTTCCCCTAATTTTTCTTCTTATTGGACAACCATGCAAATATGTGTGTCTCCCTCAAGCAATATGACCAACTTTTTCAAATAATTCCACTCAAATTATGAATCTCTTGCTGAGTGCAGAGGTGCACGCCTGTAATCCTAGTGGCTCTGGAGGCAGAGGCAAGAGAATCTTGAGTTCAAAGCCAGCCTCAGCAAAAAGCGAGGTGCTAAGCAACTCAGTGAGATCACATCTCTAAATAAAATACAAAATAGGGCTAGGGATGTGGCTCAGTGGTCGAGTGCCCCCTGAGTTCAATTCCTGGGATTCCTCATCCAACAAATTATGAATCTCACAAATCTATTACCTTTCTTGCCTACCTTCAGCAAAGGGCTTTACCTGTATTAGTTCATCTGATTCAAATGGGTACTATTGGTGCTACTGTTATAGATTTGAGGTTAGTAACTTACCCAAGGTCATGATAATGGGTGTGACTGGAAAAAAAGGATCATGGACCAGGGAGAGACACTCCCAGGAGACCAGTGGTGCTCCAGATAACCTGGTTTCCTCTCTTGCTGGGTTAATGAAAGGCAAGCAGGAAGAGTGCCTGCCACCCAGAGACATCTGATTCTGTTCACCCTCCATTTACTGGTCACCTGTTCTAGGCACCTGAATCTGATCTGGGCCCCAGGGAAATTGAGTTGAACAGGAATAATCAGAACATGTATAGGGATCCCCCAGAGGTACAGCTTCCTTCCAACATCTGACAAATCATATGGGCTTGGGATTTGCTTACATTTAAATAGTTTTCCTTGCCCTCTTCAGTGCCAATAAGATAAAAGTTGAGTCCATATTGGAAGTCTTTGTCATAAACAAGCAGAAGCTCATCTCCAGGATATTCCTGTAAGAAAATAATCAAAAGAGAAGATTAATGTTTAATGGTTTATTCAGATGCTGACACAATATTGATTTTTCTTTAATCAATTAGTCATAAGAGATAACCATAGTACTAGTCTGTGACTGATAACCCTAGACCACAAAATTATTTGCTTAACTTAAAGCTCTTAAAAACACAAAAGATCCAGGGATATTTATCAATACAACTTTATTTCCAACAGGAAGAAAGAACCATTACTTTTATTTGGTGTGCTCTATAGCATGTTGGAGAAAAATCATGAGCAAAATTATGAATTAAACAAAGCAACATGAAAAAATAAGAGGTAAATTTGTATTCAAGGTAATAGCTCTTTACTGGGTGCAGTAAACTAACCTGAACTAACCTGAACTGCTAGAGCTTTGCTTTTCACAGAGGATAATCAAGCAGGATTTCCAAGGAGATGTGGGCAGGCTAGTGTTTGTTCAAAGTAAGGGGGGCTGCCAGATTTGAAATTAACAACCTCTCAAACTTATATTAATGTTCTTGGTACATAATAACACATTGTGCACCATAATGAGGTAGGATGGAAAACAAAGAGGGATATTGTACTTACTTGGACAATTTTTTTGACTGGGTGGAAATCAGATACTGCGCCTCTGTTTTGCAAGTCTTCAAAAATATCTTCTTTTTTGATAAGCTTATAAGGTACTTCATCTGTGATATCTTCATCTATTCGGCAGTTGAATATTTCCTGGGTCTTGGTAGTTAACACTAGAGGATAAATTTCAGGATGACCTAGGAGAGATAAAGTGAATTTGGACATTATATATAACTACTTCAAATATTAGCAATGGGAATATGCAATTGTTTGCTTTTAATACATTTCTTGGTTAAAATTTAAAACTTCAAAGTTATTGTTATTATATTCAAAGTAAATACATCCATTTATAAAAAGATGTTGAGCAAAACAAAAAGGAAGAAAATAACAATGGCCCATAATCATACCCTTCAAGAAAGAACTTCTATTAATATTTCTTTTAGTCACCCCAAAAATACCTTATATGAAATTCTGGATCCTGCTTTTAATACTTACTATTATGTCACAAGTGTTTTACTGACATTAACTAATCCTTCAAAAACCATCATCTTAATTTAATTCTGTAGCATAATTTTAAACCCTTATTGGTAAACATTCTAACATTGTCCCATATGTTTCCAATTATTGTAAATAATCCTATAAATAAATATCTAGTTCATAAATTTTATTCCATTTCAAGTATTTTCTTGGGATAGATTTGAAAGTGAAAGTATTGGTTCAAAGGTCTGATCATCTTTTCAGGCTCTTTTGAACCTCTATTTCTTTCTTAAAACACCTCCAGGCACCTGCCTGGGATGTGGGTCTCTGTCACTAGGTGATGTGGCTTTCCATTTCATTCAGAAAACAGGATCTGTATAGCACAGAATCCTGCTCAACAGCTGATCAGCACAGGTGTCACAGTCTCACCCTTTGCTCAAAGCAAAAGACCTGCCCACCCCCTCCACCGTCATTAGCCACGGCACCATCAACTATTCGTTCTCCCTTCAACTTGTCTATGCCTAAGCTGTTTTCCCTCAGCACACTTATTTGCTCAATGACTTCCCTTTAAAACAAAACAAAAAACCCCAAAAACCAACACACACACACACACACACACACACACACACACACACACACAC